GCCCTAGAAAACTAGTATGGCATCCCAATTTTTTCTGTTTTTATTATCATCCCTAGGGAACATATATTTTGAAAGGGGGCAGAATCTCTTGTGTTTTCTTCAGTGTTTTCTTGTATAGTTCTGGAAACTGTCAAATCAGATATAAAGTCAGTTTTTTCCAGCTGCTCCTCATTCCTGTGTTTTTCTCTTCCTTATTAGTAGATGGGACATGGTATTTTTCAGATGCTGTGTTCCATCCCTTACTGTAGATTTACAGGGAGAATTTTATTGGAATTAAGGCCCATTATTTTCATGAATAATTAGCTGCATTGGGTTGTTTCCTTTTTAAAAGTTATACTAATAATTTAAGCAAAGTGTAAAATCTGAATATAAGTGTATTGGAAATCACATATGTATATCTCCATATTCATCAGGACCTCAGTACTAATCAAGGAGAGGAGTATATTGCTCTCTGAGGTTGGCAGAATAGCTTAACTAATATTCTACTGGATATATTGAATGTGAAACTAAGAAGTCAAATAGGCTTACTAACATCCCTCAATTTTAATTTGCCTTTTGGGAACATGCATGTAATCCCATGAGATAAAAATTCTATTTCCACAAGCAAACAATTTTTCTCTTATATATTTCCTTTTGGTATATGGATTTTGTGAAATTTTAAGAAGTTCTTTGGTTGGTGAAACTACTCTTAAATGTAAACTCATAAATCATGAATTTCCTGGACTTTCATAACATAATTTAACTCTTAAATTTGCAATTCTTTTGTTGAGCACAATTTAGCTTATAAATTTACAAATCATCTTTTTGGACAGACCAAGCTGTAGCATCTGAATAATGTACTCCTAGTAAGGGAGAGAGTCGATTTTTTTTTATAAGGAACACAGCTGTTAAGTCCTGACCTGGTCCGGATGATTTCAAATTTAAATTTGAGAGAAAAAGAAATAGTGTGATAAAAATAGGCATCAAAAGGCAGTGGTTATAGCAGAAGAGGGCCAGAAACAGCACTTATGGCTTTAGATATTTACCTTTCAGTGTTGAGACTGGTGTTAAAATAAACTTGAAATTTTAATTGAAGAAGAAAATCATAATTTATAATTATTTAAAGTATATATAAATATAATATATTCTGAAATGTCTTTGCACGTGGAAGTCCCCATGTCTGGAATATAATAACGTAAGAATACATTTTCCTTGATTGAATCATATCAAATAGAAGATAAGAAAATGTAATTTTATATCAAGGAGAGATCTATCCTAAAGAAGCCTTTAAATCTAATGGTAAAAAATGTCAAGTTTTTGGGTAAAAATAAATGGAAATAGAAGAAGAAATGCTGTCCTTGTGGGGTGATTTTATAGTCTATCCAACTAGGGAGAGGCAAGAAGACATGTTAGTTCCTTCACTTCAAGAAGAAGTGGGGGGTAAGGTGGGGGAGTTTTCAGTGTAGCATACATAGAAAGAAAGTTAAGGCAAAGTCTAGTTACACCTTGGAACTACAGTTCCTGTGTTTTATCAGCAGAGAAAAGAGTGAGATATATGTAAGGAAAGGCTGGTGTAGTGAGGCCAGAGCATTCAGCATATTCTGATGTACTCTGGGGGGAGGGTATCTTGAATCAAGTGAAAGCCATGTAAACCTGCATGGATGGAAAACAGGCCCGCTGCCTATGGAAAGGACTCTACAAGCATGCTGCTCATGGAAGTGCAAGAAGATACTCTGCCCATTCAAAACCAAGATTACTGCAAGCACAATAAACAAAGATGGTTACAAAAAGTGGCACAAAAGTATTTTCAGGAATCCAAACATCAGGAATGAACTGAAGCTCATAATAAATGTCAAAGACAACAGTTGGCTTTTTGGAATATTTTTTCCAAATAAATAACAGTAGGCTGTTCTTTCAACCTTTGTTTTGTTTCCAAGTTCTGTGATGAACATACAACAAACATGGCTTAAGGAGTTCAGGTTCCCAGTATAGATGTACATACCAGGGTATCAAAACCACTCTCAGTTATCTGGAAATAATCACGGGGAAGAGGAGAATGCCCAGCAGACATACTTGCCAGGAAAGGCCTGTGATTGTCGAAAACATTACAGCTTTTTATAAATCTTCCCCTGACCTGCATACACACTTTTCACAGGTACCTGATTTGAATTAGAGGCTTATTTATGCAAAATTCAGTCAACTTTATTGCAATTTTTGTTGCATCCTATGCGTTTTGATGTGTAGTGCTTTTCTTTCCTTTGACAGTCAGACTTTTTACTTCTTGTTTGATTAAAATGTTATTTTTGATAGTATTTCTTACATTTCTAAGCAGTTGGGACTATTTCTTTTTAAGCTTAAGTTTTTCTAGCTTAATTGTACTATGTCAAAAAATGCAGTTTTTGACAGTTCTGATTTGGGCAATTTGTTTTCTTTCATTCCTACTCCTCCTGGAACTTATATAAATTTATATAAATATTCATAGGGCTTTGAAAATAAGGTGTATTTTCAGCCTTTGATGTTCAGAATTTGATGTGTATTAATTGAATTTGTTAATCATATTCAAATATTTTTATGCTTTGAATACTTCTTGACTGGCATAGACAAACTCATTTGTGTTTTATTTATGTTTATATATAATAGAAAATATCCTCACCTTTATAGCTGATAGAAGTTTTGCTTTATACAGTTTGGTGGGATGTAATTTTGTTTATAAGCATTCATGAGAGTCATAGCTTTCATCACAATTGTATTCTACCTCAATAACTGAATTTTGAGTGCTTTCCCCTTTATTTTCAACATGTTAATTACTGCTCCTGCTTTCTTTTTTGTTCATGTTTTTCAATATTTTGTGTTTAACCTTTAACCTTCGGTGTCACATTGTTTTAAGTGCCTCCCGAAAACACCATATAAGTGGATTTTTAATAAATTATTCTATTGTATTTTCAGTAAAAAAATTAGCCATTTCATATTTTTAAATATACTGTTTGAATTTGCTTCTGTCATTTTGCTTTATTCTTTCTGTTTCAAATTTTTTTGTCTTTTTCTGCATAAAAAGTTATGATTATTTTCTGCAATGATTTGAAATATAGGCATTCTTTTATTCCTCCTTAATGTTTTTCAAAGCTTTCTTAAAACATTGTAAGCTACCAAATGGGTTCATAGTGTACCCTTTTCTTGAGCTCTGAGTCATTGAATTAAGGTTTACTACTTTCTTCTGCTACAGCATCCACTTTCTGAGATGAGACCAATCATTTGGGGGGTAATATTTGTATCTCCTTGAGTGTCTTCTGGTATATCTGCTCTACATCTTAAAGAAATCCCCTAAGTTTTCTACTATATGGAGCCCGCCCCTCTGTGATTTCTAGTACTGATTTGGGTCTCTCCTCCTCCTCCATTTCATGTTCCTTGTATCATTTCAACAGAAATTTAGAAGAAGGGTGCTAGCAGCCTGTATATAAACCTCCATCTTGTCAGGAATTTGGTATGCCATTTTTTTAAATCGGCACTGTGATAAACCAGAGGAGCTTTGCCTGAATGGGACATGAATTGTGTCAAATAATGTGCAATTTAAGGAAGGGTAGTGTTAATATGTTTGGAATAGAGAAAACTTGAATAGTTGATAGTCACACTCTTTACTTCTTGTTTGATTAAAATGTTATTTTTGATAGTGCAATGTGACAGCTACCTTTGGATCCCCAAAAGGATGCCATGCAGTCCAAAGAACAGACTGATAATGTTAGCCTCACAGGCTAGTACTAGGACCAGTGTGGTCATATTAAACCTATCCTAGCTGCCAAGAGGAGGATACTGTCTTAAATTGGGGAAAGGTGTGAATTTCTAAGTTTGTTTCCAACACTATGATTTTTTTAGTATAAATAAATTTGACATTTTTGAAATGTGGAATATAAACACAGTTTCCTTCCCCAAATTTGGCACATAGAGGAATGGAATGGAATCCTTGTTAAAATATACATAAGCCCAGAAATTTTGAGTTATTTAAGTTTGGGGAAGAACCTAATAACTCATATATTCTGATGTGGGTTAATTTTGAGAATATAGTGTTACTCTTTAGGTAAAATGACTTTATTAAAATACTATTCTTTGGCATTTTATGATTGATTCTAGGATGTATTTCATGTGTAGTAACCAATGCTTTAAAATATTACAAATATTATTTTAACTTAATTGGTTGAGTAAAGAGTAAATTCAATTACTTTATAACACTTGCTGCTATAATTCTTTAAAGAAATGAGAAATGGTACCTAAGTGCTAGTGATGAAGAAACAAGAAAACAATTGAAGTCAACATTTCTACATATAAGCGCCAGTTCAGGTCCTGGGAAGTAGACATCAAGCTGGAGTTTAAAGTGAAAGATCAAGAAAGGGGAGAGAGATCAGGGAAAGGCAGGGAAAGCCTTTAGATTGAGAGGTGTTTCGACACCTGTGAATGTCGGAAGAGGGAAGGAATGAGGATGAGGGGTGGAAAGCCTCCACCAGATACAGCAGGAGGCAGTCTGAGCCAGCCCTGTGGTCAGCTCTGATACAACGACTGACCACAGAAGAGATCATCGTTGGGCAGGCACGGTTAGGCCCTGATTCCCCATAGTTCCCCGTCATAGTCTGCTCTAACGAGGTGGCAGATCCAGAGTGCTCTAGCTGGAACCCTCAGATACCTGTCCTCCCAGCAGATGCTCTCTTGGAGGGAGATTTATGGCTGCCACAAACCCAAGCCATGTTTATTCAGTACTGAGGAGTGTGCATGCTTATTTGAAAGCATAATTTGATACTATCTTTACTGATTTCTTTGGCTTCTGTTTGTTTGACTTTTACTGCTTTAAGTTGCTTGACTTCTATTTGATATTTTTTTCATATTTCAGATGTACAACATGAATCTATTCATGTCTAATTTTACTTATGTTGATATAAAAATAAAATATTGCTTGTCAGGATGTGATGATAAAAAATACTCTGTAAAGATGTGGGGTTTTAAGAACTTAGGAGCCTTTCATGTTATTCCTCTAGTTTGGCAGCAAGAAGAGACAGCACGCATTAACCAGTCTTTTACTGGAGCCGAAAGGAAAGCTGCTTTGTGTGAACTTCTGGAAAAAGAGATCCAGATAATTGCTTCCATTGGGAGGCATAGATACATCGCTGATAGGGAGAACAAGGAAGCATTAGTACAAACTTTTTTGAATAAGGTTAGTGAAGTAACAATTATTTAAATATGAATATATCCTGTGTTTAAAAATGTAGAATAATGAACTAAAGGAGAGACTTACATTGTAAGAATTTGCGTGAGTTTTGTTTAGCACTTTAGTGATACATTTCTTTAAATTCTGTATATGTTTTTCCTTTTTTCTGACACAGCTTTAGATGTTAACTGCAGCCTAGAATAATGATTGACAATATGAAATGAATATGTTCTTAACTAAAGAGATTTGGCCATGAAGGAAACAATGGAGATGCTCTCCCTGTGACTCTGTTCACTTTAGCTTTAGGCTGGCTATAGAAGTTAGACATGAATTGTACACCCTGATAAAATGGAGAGTACTGAAGTCACATAAATTCTGGGTCTGGGGTACCCCTATATTAAGCAACCTTAATAGCTATAAACTATTTGGTACATTTGCTTTTGCTCACCAGGTCATTACTGACTGGAAATTTCTGAGCAAAAAGATGTGTGATTATTGAAAACCATGAAAATATGCATAAAGGAAGCTAAAATAATCACCCTTTTGTGGTAAAACTGCCCGTTTGATATTGGTTGAATAGCCTGTCTCCATAGTGACCACTTTCTTTTTATACACCTCATCTTTCCAAACAATTAAAAGCCAACTCTACCACAAGAAGAAAAGGGATGGAGTTTTTCAAGATATTCACCTGTAGTGCTTCTAGTTATATGGTTCATGTTGTTTGTAAACATTCACTCTTAAAAAACATATTTTAAGTGTATTTTTTAAAAATTGAAGTATAATTGATATTCAATATTACATTGATTTCAAGTATACAACACGGTGGTTCAACAGTTGCATACTTTATTGAATCCTCATCCCAGCTGGTGCACCTACTATCTGTCAACATAGAAAGATGTTATGGAACCACTATGTTCTCCATGCTGTGCTTCTATTCCCATGACCATCTTATATATTATGATTGAGATTTTGTGTCTCTTTATCCCCTTTACCTACCCACCTACCCGAACCCATCCTCCATGGTGATCACCAGTCACTTATCATTGTCTATGAGTCTACTGCTAAAAACTGTATTTTTTAAATACTATAAATGCCATCTTCTCATCTTACTCTGGTATTTGATCTCCATTTTTATTTTGGTTTTAGTTACTACCTGCATTCTAGAACTCCCTGCAGGTCTATCCCAGACCTCTCTTAGGAGCTTCCAAATCACATATCCAGTTGCCCACTGTCATTGCTCTTTGGATGTCCCAAGAGTACAACTCAAGTTGACATGTCAACACCTTAGTCATATCATCTTATCATTCCCTGGGCCCCTCATCTCCAAACTGATCCTATTCCATAGCCCTCACATAATTTATCTTTATGAGTTTTTCATTTAGTCAGTTGCTTTAGTTAGACACCTGGCTATTATTTTTGATGCCCCATATAACCACCAACCTCTTCATTCTATCACTTCATTAATCTTCTCACTTCTCTACTTCTTCTTTTCCAAACCCACTACCACTGCTTGTAGGGAATGTCCCTGCCAAGGTGTTCTGATGATTTCGTTTGTGCCTAAATGTGCCATGTAGGCAAAGACTTGAGCCCCAGTTAACCTGAGTCTTGGTGGAATGCCTTGTGAACCTGCTGGAACATGAAAGGATGGGAGGCTTCTGAGGCAGCTCCTTTCCCTTGCTTCCCTGTCTGCCCTGGGAGGCTGTCATGAGGCAGGTCTTGTCTTGTATGAGCTTGACACTGACTTAATGGAATCTGGATCACTTTCTCATCTGGATTACTTTATGTCTCCAAATTAGGCTCTTGGCCTCCAGTCTCACTTCTCAATTCCTTCCTCCATCATCCATACTACTGCCATAGTGACCTCACTAAACACAGCTCTGTTCCTCCTTGCTGCCATCAGGGAACCCAGGGTTTTCATAATCGATCCTTGGCCCATTTTACCTGTCCCACTACTGTCTCACTGTCATCTATGCTCACACACTATGGCCATACTGATGGCGCTATGCTTGATTACTTGCACATCCTCAGAAAGACCATGTGCTCTTGATATTTCTACCTCTGGTGTTGCCTCTACATGGAACAGCCTTCCCTTCCTTCCTCAGTAGCCAGCTACTCACTCTTTAAAACAAGCTCAGGTGCCCCTCCTTACAGAAAGGCTCTGCTGATCTTCCTACTTTAGCCTGTTCTATATGCTTTCATGAACTCTGTTTCACTTCTTAGTACATAGTCAGTTTTTATGCAACTATTTAGATGTCTGCATCCTTCCTAGATTCTGAGCTTCTTAAGGCAAGAACTTTCTTTTTTCTCTGTATCCTCATCTAGCACATTGCTTATCACAGACTATTAATAAATGCTTCTGGAAGAAGGCAGGGAGAAAAAATAAAGGGCAGAAATAATGGCTGTGTAATTTTATATTTCAGATATGATCAAGAAATTATGAGATGTGGATACTGGCATTTCAAATTCTTGAATGTCTTCAGTCTAGAAAAGATGAGTGTACTGTGTGAGAGCATAATATTCATACCTCTCCATAGTCAGATTTCAAACTAAACATACTGCTTTAGCAAGTTACTTTATCTTGAATTCACCTTCATCACCAAGAACTATATTATGTGTCTGATTGTTAACCTTACCAAAGAGGGCAGCAGTGGACCCAAGGCACAAGAGTGTTTGAAGGAGCTGGAGGCCTCTGAGGTACCCATGGATAGGCAAGATGGGTGGCACTTTATCCCCTTTACCTACCAACCTACCCTAACCCATCCTCCATGGTGATCTCCAGTCACTTATCATTGTCTATGAGTTTACTTCTAAAAACTATATTTTTTAGATGCTGTAAATGCCATCTTCTCATCTTAGTCTGATATTTGATCTCCACTTTTATTTTGGTTTTAGTTACTGCCTGCATTCTAGAACTCCCTTCAGGTCTAGACCTTTCACAGGAATTCCCACTGTGCTTTCTTTGCTGTTTTGTTTCCTATAAACTATTTTAAATTCTTGTTGTAAATACTCATACAATGTCTATTCTTCTTTATGCTTTTACACTCCTCACACCCTGCAATCCAGGCTTTATGTCTAGAATTCTCTCTAAGCATTACTTCAATTATAAAGAGTCCAAAAGTAGATCAAATCCAAATAAATATAGTGACTTCAGAGCCCTTTGGTGACTGCTACTCTTTCTCATGAAGTATAGCCCTCTAAGAAGGTCTTTCAGACTCACCAAAAACAGATGAGATGGGGAAATTTTGTTCACAGGAATTCCTGTGAGGAAGGAAGATCTGTTCTTTGTTTGTCTTTTTTATAAATACTCTGATAAGTTGCTGGGGTAGAATCTGAGACCCTGAAGGAGCCGAGTGTAGGAAGAATTGCTCTGTGCCAGGAAAATGGAGGGTTTTGAGTGTTGCTGGGAGAGAAAGTTAAAGTACAGTGAGGAGATAGTTGGAAGGCACTGGGGTGCAATGTGGCTTCTTGTGACTTTGTTAGTTATATTACTAAATAAATTAAATATTAAGTGCAAGATTTTTTTTTTTTTTTGTGGGAGGAGAGGGAATGAGAGGAAATGACTGGGCCTTAATGCTCGCCTTGATTCAGGGCAACACACCAAGATGCAAGGCCGGGAGATCGAAGGAAGGGTGGAGCAGTGGCCACAGGACTTGTACAGGTCAAGGAAAAGGTTTCTTGTGGGGCATCGGTTTTAGGATTGGGGTCATAAGCCCACTGTCACCTCAGCTGATAAACCGGGTAACCTCACCAACACTGAGGTCGAGATTTAGAGGAAGTGGAAATTTCAGCTGATACAAGGGAATTTTACCTCAGTTTTGACCCACATGTCTTATAGAGCAAGAAAAACACAACCACAGAATGGAACAACTACACTTGACATCACTCCCCAGTCATTCCATAGCTTAATTAGTCCAGTCTTTAAAAATATTGATTTTTGGTCAACTTCTAACCTCTTACAGTAAATTATAAAATCTTTGTTATTCTAATGCAAAATCATTTTAATCATCCTTTTGTGTATCATGCCATATTAAACATAGAAAACAAGGTAGATTTTATAGTTAGTTTTGTTGTAAATACTTATACAGTGCCTTTTGTTCTTTATTCCTGCTCACCCTTCCCCACCCCCATGTCTGGCATTGTCTCTAATATTCAGGAGAAGACAGTGCTGACTTCATAAAATTCGAAGTGACTTATTCTACATTTTTTTTTTTTGGTTACTAAAAAAAAAAAAATCTTATAATTAATACCTGAAGCTAGACAAGGTCAGAATTTTTTCACATGTCAAAGCTATTAACCAGAGCCATAATGCAGATTTTAAAACTAAAAATATTTATATCTTACAACATATACATATGTAAAGGGAATGTTTACTTTCCTATAATTTGGGAATAACTTTGAAGAATAGATATTTTTTCTTTTTTTATTGAAATATAGTTTATATACAATATTATGTTCATTTCAAGTATATAACGTAGTGATTCAACAGTTATCTACATTATTAAATTATCACCCCAATAAATGTTGACAATATAGTTATCTGTCAACAGGGAAGGTTATTACAGTATTATTGATTCTATTTTCTATGCTGTACTTTCATCCCTGTGACTAATTTATATTATAATTGATATTTTGTACCTCTTTATCCCCTTCACCTATTTCACCCACCCTCCCCCACGGCAATCACTAGTTCTCTGTGTCTAGGAATATATTTGTGCTCTTTTCATTTGTTTTGTTTTGTTTTTTAGATTCCACATATAAGTGAAATCATCGTATTTGTCTTTCTCTCCTGGCTTATATCATTTAGCATAATGCTCTCTAGGTCCATAAGAATAAAGTTTCATGTTTTAGTTTTAGTTTAACTTCAATATATTTAAATATTATGCAGCTTAGTGAACTAATATTTTCTTTTCATCTTCTTATCCTGAATATAGAATTTTTCTAAGTAATGAATGATTTTTTTTCAATTAGTTAAATCAAAACATTGAACTAATTAGTTATTATAGGTTCTATACTAAGCCTTCATTCTCTATAAAAGGCTTCAAGATTTTTTTGAGGCATTGGTTAAATAACCTGTAATTGAACATGCCAAACATTGACCTCCACAAGTTATCAGATGTTAATAACTCACAACTTTACAGAATTCAAGAAATTCATATCAAGAAATTTGAATGAAAAATCATCAGCCAGTTTCTAATATATCTTTGGTGTGCTTTACCCAAACTGTAAAGAGACATTTGAATTTCTGCAGGAGGTTACTCCTAGAGTTTAGGGCACTTATTTCTTTGATTCTCCTTGATTCGTACCACTTCTCACAATCACAAGCTAAAAACACTGCCGTCCGTGTTAGACTGTGTCATTTAAATGTTTTTATTCTCCCCCATACTCAGGTGGCCAACAGCTAATGGGATAGAAAAATGCAACTGGCTCTTGCCTTTCTCTGAGCACCACAGTACACAGTGGTGTCCTCTATGGATGAACAAAACCCCTACGCCATGTAAAAGAAAAGTTGATCACTACCCAGTAGTTTTGGGGGCATTAAGGTTATTCTTAATTTATCCCCTTAGGGACCTGAGTATTGATTTAGGAGGAAGAAAAGCCCTCCTTTCACAGTGCAGTCATTTCTTCTATTTTATGGAAAACCTGCTGCTTTCAAGGTTTTGTTATCTCTTTACCTTCCCTCTCTTGGAATGTATCTTCCTGCTGTTCTTCTGTTCTCTGTTCCAGAATCTGTGCTGTGTCATTTGGTAGCAGCTAAGTGGAATTTATTACACTCCTGTTTTCTAAAGCAATTTAAGAACATGATTGTTGTACATGTCTTATTATAGCCAAAGCATTCAAAGAAAAAGGGAAATAGGAAAAAGAAATAAGCAAAGTTGACATTTTCCTGTATCAGAGTAAAAAAACACCTGCAGGCCTAAAGTCAAAGAAGCTTAGACTAGAAGAGCAAATTATCAGTATTGGCAGAGACACATCCAAGTATGATAACAGCTTTGCCAAATAGATTTTTTTATATCTTCTCAGCACTAACCAGGGAACTCAAACTTCAAATCTGGGATTCTTTCTATCAGTTAGTTCTCTTTAACCTGGCTAACTTCTAGTTATTCTTCAGGTTTCATCTTAGATACTATTTTATTTTCACCAGTTAAATGCTTTATAGCAACCTGTAGTTACCTATTTACCTGGAGTCATCAAGCATAATCACCTTTTATTTTAATTACTTATTTCTGTATCTTTACATCCCATCAGATTTGAGAATTCTTAAAATCAGGATAGCATTTTATTTACTCAGTACCTAGTACACTAATATATAGTAAACACAGTAAATATTTGTTTAATGAGTGAATGAGCCCTGTAGGCCCTGTGAGATGTATAGAACTACATGAAAAAATTATTTCTTATAATCTTTTGGGAGAAATATAATTAACAAACATAAAATAATCATAGAACTATTTGGATTCAAATTTCATTGCCCTGAGTGATTAAAATAGAGACACTGCATACTTGTTTGTGTGTGTGTTTTTACAAGCACAGTAGTATTTCACATACTAGTGATTTCATTGGCTCAAACCATAGTTAGGAATCGTGGAGAAGGTAGAGTTTTACTTAAAAATTGAAGGACGGGAAGCATTTGGATGTTGAATGTTTTTGGAAAAAATCCAAGATATTACCATATCATACTATATTAAATGGGGCAAAAACTTGGAAGGAAAATAGAGTTAAATCAGTCCATCAGGTGAAAGAAATACAATGAAGTAGATGACTGGGCATTTCATTAAAAGGTTATTATGCTTGGATTATTGCAAATGGAATAGGTTAGCAGCCTGCAGAGCGAAAGGTATTGTCCACATTACCAGAAGAAAAGAAATTACGTTTAATAGAGCTACCCTGAGGAAAACTGCATGCAAAGGTTAAGACATTAGACTTTAGAATTTGCAATATGAAACTTACCCCAAGATTGCTTATTCCTTAAAACTTTAAAAAGGAACTTTGAAATAAGCATTAAACTTCAGTAACTCTTTAAGGCTACCCTCAAACAAGGCTGTGTCCATTTAAAACAATACATATTTTTAAATCTAAGTGATAACAATTAAATGATAAAATATTTTCTTATTGAGCTATTTCTCTTTTATAATCCTTAATAAATGTTACTTAATTCTATTCTGCTAATTAACAGTATATTACTTAATGTTAGATATATGCTCTAAAAATATAATTTAAGTCTGTGGCTTCTCATTAGCTAGGTTAAAACTATAACTGAGAATCTAGTTTCTGATGAAGATCCTAACTATGAATTACATTTATTTTGGCTTTGTTCAGAAAATGATACTATTACTCTGAAAACAAATCAAATACAGTTGCTTTTAAATGGTACCTTTACAGTTTTCAAGGTAATTTTGTTAATAGGAAATGTAAAAAAATTAAGGGTAAATTGAGGCTGTAACTAAAAATTCCTTGTAATACTGTCATGCTAAATGCAGTCTTACATTATTTCTCTATATGGCTAGTCTACATTCCTGAGTTGTTCCAATACATGGGCTTCTGTTTAAACTTTAAATTATATAAAATCTAAGATTTAAATGGTTGCCAGTATGGCATAAATTGAGCTACAGGTGTCCAAAGCAATTACTAATCAGCCTACAAAAAATCCAGCATTTGGACAGTTAATTGTCATGGTCAACATAGCCTTGTTTCTGATAGATTATAGTCAGGGAAACCTAAGCATCTTCAGACCACAAAGTAGATAAGAAAATAGTTCATGAGTTTTCAGTGTGAAATTTTTAGGTGAATGAATCCTCTCTTAAAGTCTGAGTAGGAGAGAACAGAAACAGCAGCAAACACAGACTTAATCTTCATTAAAGATATCTTTGGTGTCTGAGTTTGCTGAGGACTCATACCATCTCCTGTAGCTAGTCTCTGAATTTCTAGCCTGGAAGTTCTTAGATGAGCTTCAGAGCAAGTGAACTCCATCTCTGATCCTCAGTTGGGGAGATGGACTAGGTTAGAAGGCACCAAGCCAGATTTGGAAATAGTAAGTGCGAATCTTAGCCATCAGCATGGAGGCATGGACCACAGCACTGTGAAGCTAGCTTAGTGTCTTTGTCTCACTATGGACATCTGCTTTGTGAAGAACTATGAACTTGATATAGATTTATTTTTATAGGAAACAAAACCATACTCAAAAGGTCCAGTTTTGTTGTATCTGTAAGACTGTAACAATTGTTCTATAAAAGTTGTCTTCAATTGGCAAGGCATGATTAGGACACCTTTATATATAGCTCAGTGTAATTGAACCAAACAGATAATCTTTAGATACATTATAAATAGCGTGCTTTTTTTTCCTGAGGGGGGGTCATAAGCTATTCCATATATACATCAAGCCATTCAACATAGCAGTTAGTACAAATTAGTAGCAAATTCAGGATCCTGTAAAAGTGTTTGAACTTCTACAGACTGAATGACTCTCTCATATTTTTTTCCTAAAATGTTTCACTTTCCCATGGTCTTAAAATTCTTCAATTAATTTTCTTAAGTTTTAGTGATACTTCTATTCATAAAGCACATGATATTATAGTTAACTTTTAGTAGAAGGATCAAAACTATTTTTTAACCTTTAATTAACTGATAATTATAAGCATAATACTATTTTCAAGTGTTCAGCTCCAAAGATATGGAGAACATTTAATGGAAAAAAAATTGAGATGGATACACAGTTCACCATCAGAGCCAGAGAGCTTCAAAACATCTATGAATGCATTATGCTGAAAAATATCTCTCAAGATGAGAGGCTGGATGTACTCCTGACACTTAAACACACTGTGAAGGTATGTTAACTGTCTCTTAATTTTGGGGTATCACTATCAATATCAACAAAAAAAATACTAAAATATGCAAGATATTTTGTATGAAGTTATTATAAAGATGATTAATGTTTATATATAGGAATTTTATTTTGTCAGTAACTATATTGTTTTGGTGTAATTTGGGGAGGATATGGTTTATGCATTAATGTTTACCTAAAAGTTCTCAGTCTATATGTTAATATAAATGTAATAAATGTAAGTAGAGTATAATGAATATTCCAAATGTAAGTGTATGTTTATGTAATGGAAGTAAATATATAACAGCATGGGATTAATACCCAATTAAGTGAAACAGCAATTATTGTCTATATATTTTGATACTTTTCAATGAAAATATATTTTTAACATTAGTGTATTTTTTTTCTCAAAAATTATTGAGTTAAGCCACATTAATTAGTTGAGTAAATGGTCTTTATTGGTCTTTATCCATGCATCTTCCATATTTCTGCCCATGAGAACAGAGGCATTGACTCAATTAGGCATTGAGGGTCTTGGTTTTGGACTACCTTTTCAAAGATGCTTTTATAGTGACTAGTCTTAAAAGATAGAAACAGTTAGGGAGAGGGGGAAAGTGATAGGTTCAGAGGTAGGAAACAAGGAGGGTAGTAAAAAGTCCAGACTGAAAAAGAGAGTGCAGATAGGGAATATAGCAGAAATCCTCTCACCTGACATAATTAGGACCATTAGCTGATTAACAAAAAAAAAACAAAGGGTGGACGCATGAAAGATAAATTGTGCATATCTTAAACAATATGTTTAACCTATATATCCACATGTACATTTATTTAACAATATTTTGACAGAATTAAAGCCTTTAAGCATGAATCAAATTCTGACTCTATTCATTATGGTCGTACAACCTTAGATGTTATTTACTATTTCTGAAAATCAGTTTTATCATTTTAAAGTTAGTTGCTTTGAGGATCTAAATATTTCTATGTCTGTATATATGTACATACTGATATAAAAAAGAAATTTAAAGAATCTATGTCTCAGTGCTTACAGAGAGCCCTCAATAAATAATAGATAATATTTTGATGGCAATTACTAATACAGACTAGTGAATCTTAAACTTGAGTTCATTGTAGAATCATCCAGAGAGCTTGAAAGAGAGAGAGGGGAATGGGGGAGGAGAGAGAGAGAGAGGCATAATATGAGAATAAATGAAGAGGAATGCTATCTAGGTCCCATTTCAGAGCAGTTAAATTAGATCCTCAAACATGAAGGCAATGTTAAAATCTTTAAATATCTCCCCAGATCATTCTAATGTACCTTCAGGGTCAAGGACCACTGATGTAGACTCTTTTATTAGCTCTACCAAGTATGTTAAAAAGTACAGAAGAGCATTATTTCACAGTTAGTACCTTTATCTTCTGACTCTCATTCAAATTATGTTTCTTAGAGTTCTCTTGTGAGCAGCTGGAGCTCCTTACTTATATTTTTCTAATAAATCCTCTTACCTCAGTCTCTCAACTCTTACCTGGTGCTTTCTTATTCAACCACACAATTCTATTACTTTATTTAAAAATTATTGTGCATTATATTAACATGTGAAAAAAATGTATAAAACACATATGTGTAGTGCTCGCTTCGGCAGCACATATACTAAAATTGGAATGATACAGGGAAGATTAGCATGGCCCCTGCGCAAGGATGATATGCAAATTCGTGAAGCATTCCATAAAAAAACCCCGCATATGTGCAATATGTCAATTAAAACCACCAACCACATAAGCACCCTTTGGCCCCAAAACAGGGCATTGCCAACATTGCGTGTGTTCCCCTTTTTATCCCCCTACAAGTAACCACCATATTGTTTTTCATGGTAGCCACTTTCTTGATTTTTCTTTGTAGTTTTACTACCTCTGTATATATCTCTAAATAATGCAGTTTAGTATTGCTTAATTTTGAATTTTATTTAAATAAATGATACTGTATGTATTATTTTGTACCTTGCTTCTTATGCTCAACATTAATATGTAAGTTTAAGTTTGTTATTATAAGTAGCTGTAGTTCACTTATTTCCATATATTAGATAATATTCTACTGTATGAATAATCAGTCACTTAGTTATGTAGCCAATATATTTATAGTATTTGGTTGTTTCTAATTTTGAGCTGCTATGAACAATGACTCTACGTGCACATTTCTCTAAAGCACTTAGGAGCAGAATTGCTAGGTTGTAGAGTTTGTGTATCTTAAACTCTACTAGGTAATGTCAAGTTTCTTTCCAAATTAGTTGTACCAACTATACTCCTATCAGTGATGTTCATTTCTTTTGGAACTTAGTCTTCAGTTTGTTTGAGTGGTAATTTTTAAAACTGATTTTAAAATTCTGTACTGAATATGTTTGTGTTTTGTATAGGAACATGAATGTAAGCTGACTCAGGAAATTCTAGAATTAATTGACAGAGAGGTTGACCTTATGATGAGGGGAGTCAAACAGCATAACCTTGAAGGACTCAGAAAAAGAATTGCAACACTCTTTTTTCACTACATCAAAACACCTCTGTTTAATCCAGAAGCTGCAAGACACCTTAAGGTACTGTACTTTTTTTTTCCTGATTCCTTTCTCAAACTTCTAAGATATGCTACAGTAAATTGAAGCATATCCAAATTTTGCTTTAATCTTTACTTAGGGTCAATTTGGAAGATTATTTTATTGGTAAAGACTATCTTATAAGTGATTATTTTTTATGTCAATAAATTAAACAATCACTTAACTTCTTCTGTGTCTGTATTTCCAATCTTGAATTCTTTTCTACTCTCTGAACCAAATTTACAATTGACTAGTGTACTATGTTGAATGCATCATGATCTCTCACATCTTCATGCTTTTGTACACATTGTTGCCTCCACCTGGAATACTTTCCCTTACTTCACCCAGCTCCTATTCATTTTCTAAGACTCAATTCACATCTCCCCTCCATCATTAGGCTTCAGAGAGTGTTAAAATCTTCATTATCTGTGATTCTACATATACCGTGTGTTCCCTTCTAATACTTATGATATAATTATAATTATTAGTAAATAGATCCATGTAGACATCCTGAGAGAACTTCACATGTAAAATGTACTTGAATTAAACTACCTTTTCAACTCCAACATGCTTAGGCTTCTGTGAGAATTTTGCTCTTTAAAACCAAGATAAGTGCTTTATTGCCTTCTCAATATTCAAAATACTTTTTGTAAAGTTTGAGGGAAGGTGGTTTCCTAAAGAATTCTAAATAGTGTTTTATTCCAATGATATTTTTAGAGTTATAATTTGTTTAAGAAGATGATTAAGCATCTGTTTTGCTTTTCTGATATAAACTCTCAATATTTGATCAAA